TAACAAGATCGTTAGGTCATGTATAATAGGAAATAACTTGAAGCTATAGATGTTTTCCAACTATATACCTGGTATATATCCCTCCTTCGAATTCGACGAATCAGATTTCTGGATTCCTCTAGCTCTCGATCAGTAGAAGTTTCAATTCTTTTGACTATTGTATCATCTAACTGCACATTATTAATTAACCAATGGTTTAAACTTCAGACAGGCATGGTATTTTGCGTTGTATCAGTGAAAAGATTATCCAACCATCCAGTATTGAGCCGGTTCGTCTATGTACGAAGCAATTTGAAGATGGTCATTGGCTTTTATCAAGGCATCTACAACCATGAGCTCTATTGCCTAAAAATTATAAGATGAAAAAAGAAAAGAAAGGAAGCACTCGTAATGAGATTTATGCAGTAGAAAGTGGAAACTTTTTGAAATAAAGAACCCAGTTAAGTAAAATTCTTTGCACCTTCACTTTTGGATGCATATAGACCGTACGATGCAAATCAGCACGTGTGGAAAATAGCTTGTGGATTGTAAGATCTAACAAAATTCATCAAAGGTAATGTAAAAACTGTTTATATATCTGGAGATGTTCCTCTTTCATGTAACATAATAGTTTCAAGAGTACTAACATTCCTTCGGGCGATAACATATTTCATTGTCTATAACACGCATTGTTTCCAGTAGCCTGCAAGTAACGAAAAGATAGTATTGTCTTTTCCATAGTTAGTAATGATTTGGGACAAATTCTTCAGTTTTACAGAAAAGGACCAAATAGAATATGAAGATCATGCCTCTGGAACTGAAAATTGCACCCAAGACCACAAGCTCTGGTGTCACGCTCTATGTAATCGAATCTGCAAAAAGATTGATTCATGTAATGCAGCTGCAAGTGCATAATTTAAGTTTCATCTGAAGAAAGTAAAAGGGGAGGGGGCCAGTTACTTGTCAACATCTATTCCATTTCACCCATTAGCAACAATGTCATACAAGAACTGCTTCTCCTTCGAGCTCTATATAGTATGTCATGAAGCAAAAAGATTCAGTACTGTTTTCATATCATAGCAATTTTAGCATTGGAACATATTCACTCAAATCTTCCCATCAGAATACTTACCACTGAATTACCTTCCTCAGAAGCAACTATCATTTCCTGTGTAGAAAAGAAAAGAGTTTTAATATCATTCAAAGAAAAAAGATCTAATACGATTCAAAGGAAAGTCAAAGATGGAGCTGGAAAGGAGAACTACCCTTGAATCCAAAATAAAGCTCCACAACAAACTGAAAATAAAGATCTTGAAACAATAAACAACATGAAATTTGTCAATCTTACATAATATAATTTTGAAAGCACAAGGCACAGCTCAAGAAAAAATTCCAAACCGTAGTAAATTATGCCATGAAGAAAGACAACCTTGGGGTAATTTATCCTAGCCTGAAATTTTTTAGTGCTGAGATTGCATCTTTATGGGGAGAGAATATCTGATCTAAGAGTGCATTAAATTTTAATGTAAAAACGCATCATGAGATAAAATATTCATTTGACCTTCACTTTCTTCAGACAGTCAGAATCAATATCAATGCCATGCTCATCAACAATGTAGTCTATCATCTTCAAAGACATATCTTCGTGGGACCTGAAATTTTTTAATTAATTCCAGTATGTAGTTAGAAGAGTTGACTAAGATAAAGACTACAAATCTAATTCAACCCTGGGAGCCTGCATCAGTTTATACTTAACAGAAAACTGTGCATGAGATAGAAAGAAGCTAAATTAGATACACAAAAAATTGACCATACATATAAAGTGACAGCTGATTT